CAGAAAACACAGTGCGACGGCTTTGGAATGTTTCTCACCAAATAGCAGCGCGAATACAATCGATCAAATGGAGACATTCGTCTGATTTAGAACCTGGGGTCACTGTAATTGAATTCAAATTCAGTTTACTGTATGTTTCCTATTGAAGAAAGGATTCTCGTGACAGCGAAAGCCATTTTTGTACTCGCCATTGCGCTAGGCTAATCGGTTTCAATCTATTCCAAACTTCATGGTACATATAATGCGAAACAAAGACACGAATCACTCACATGTTTCTTGTTATCATCATTTGGAAAAATTCAAACTGTGTCCAGCTACTGTGGTTTTTGCGAGGAATGCATGTAGTTCTATCTGGACCTTTCTCCATATGTTTATTAGTCATCAGTCACTGCAAAAGTCACCCTATTTCTTTTTCCTTCTTTCTATTAGATATATGCGTCTACATACTATGATTCGTTGTCATGCGACTGTGATGTATCATTCAACGCAGTAGACAATATTATCTGAGTGTGTTCTTGACCATGTTTACTGGTCTCAATCACATGTTTCTTGCCACTATGATATCCTGCTTTATTCCAATCAGGTCATTTGGGGGGTTGATAACCTGATCATACCTACTCTTATAGTTCCAACAATTGGGCCGTTATCGATTACCCTCAATCCGTACGATCGAGTGAATTTCCAAACTAAGTCATATAGTATGGATACGTGCCAGATAGGTTGACCCCCGATTTACACAGTTTGAGTGCAAAATAATACTATGATAACCACCTTCGTGAATTTAATTAGTATTCACAGCACGAACTCCTAATGATACAGTGTTAGCGCGAGCAGAGTGATCGCTTTAATCACAAAATCCGCACGTTGGAGTACATTTTCTGCCAACACACACACACACACTCATTAGCTGCACTGTTTCCTGCTGTTGCTTACTTAGATGTGTTCACATCTACTTCGATTGAAAACCGGATTTCTGTTCGTCAGTTGTCCTATTGGTCAGGATCTTTGCAATGCAAGTTCACTGATGCAACAAGCTACTTAGACTATTGAGATCCCTTGCACGGTTGGATGTAAATTAGATCATTTCCGTCATTTTGGTTGACCTTAAAAAGGTTTATCAAAGGCATAATGCTTACTCTTTTCAATACAGCACGGATTTGAAGAGGACTCAAATTTCATGTGCACTGTTTATTTGAACATCTGTGCATACAACGCACTTTTCTGCTTCTGGTTTTTACGCGATGATTTCTAACAAAAACCACTACCAGTAATAGGATAATACCACTAAGCGGTTACTGAGGTTTACTCGTTAGTGGAGATCGATTTTGTATACAGTATAACTCTAATGATACAGAATTTTCGAAATCCTGATGCCTATGAGCATCAATAAATTAGCAAGATAATGGTAAATAAATCTATTTTTTTCAGCATTTCTGTGATAAGCTTAAACACGAGAAAATACATAACAAGTTGTGTTCAACTCTAATTATAGCTCATAGGTTGGCACTCTTCATTGAGCTGAACTTCTTTCAAATCTTATAGTATCAAGCTTGGATTAACCTATTCGATTGTTCAGACGCACAAGGTATTCTTGATGGTCTTGGTTGTGGGTTTCACTCCTTGGGAGATTTTTAATTAAACACCGATTGAATGCATTTAAATGCGATAAAAATTTTTCCTTGCGGCTCAGGTGTGTAGCTCAGGGGCACGTGTTTGAAGTCCCATCCGGAAGGTTCGTGATTCGAGTCCTATCAGGAATGTAAATTGTTTCAAACCTATTGTGTAGTGTTTAAACTTTATGTTTTGACCGTTTTCTTTTCCAAAAATGTCGTCACAAAGGGATAGATGCTACTAAATGAGCGACGCTTTTCCCAGAGAAACGCAATAAAGCAACCCGCGTTTATTTCCAACTAACTTTATTGTCCTCAACTGATGCAAACTTTTGTTGTTGCGAGAAGATGCGATACCCTTGAAAATTCTCGGACCATGCATTCCATCCCAACATTTAGTCTGGACAATCAATGAGGGTTTCTCTGTCTTGTCACCAGACCCAATTAACTTCATTCTGTTCACTGAGCATTCAGTTAATTCAATTTGTACAGCAAACTGAAAACTGGTGCTTGGTATCCTACATCCTCAACTGAATTAGCGATTCGCATATACACACATGTACATGCTTCGGTGTATCTACCTACACAGTTTAAATTCCCGTCACTAGCGTGTTCCTGATAAGAGAATAACCTCTCTTCCGGCTGCTTAGACTTCTAATTGGCTCGCAAATCGTGGTCACAGAGTTCGGCGGCTGGTTAACCATAACGAAAAACATGTCCTTGCTATTGTTAGGTCTATTCATCGCTTTTTTAACCTGTAATTACACTGGGTTGATCAGAAAGCATCAGTTTGGATAAATTTTAGTCACGGTCATGGTAGGGTGAGACATAGTATCACACACTATCGTAATTAGTTGAATTATTTTGTAGGTAGCTTTTGTACACATGTTGATCGATACGGTGATCGCAAGTGACAAATTTTGTCGAATCTGTACTCCTTCAAGGTACATTTTCCATGGTCAATCTGTATCAAAGGCTCTTAGTTAACCAACTGGGGCAGTGCTTTTAACGGAATGAGCACACAATGTATTTGTGCTAATAATTGTTTTGATTTCATCAGCAATTTTGAAGCAAAACCCCTCTACAAGAACGCTTTTATTCACTTCCAATTTTAAATTACTATCTGTGTGAAGTTCAAAACTCCCAGTGATATCGTACTCTAAATCCTACGTTGCATTTTAATGCTGAAACTAATCGATATTTAATAAAAAGCCACGTGATTTGATGCCATGTTTATATCTATTGTGGAGTGTTCAGCCAGAGCTGTTGAACACCATGTTCGGAAGTGTATGGTGTCT